GCCGGAACAGTCGTATTGCATCCCCGGACGGTGCACATAAGACAACATCGGTACGGCCAGAGAAGTAATCTCCCTTGCAGAAGTGCACAACGTGGACTTGGGCCTCCTCTTCTTGGATCAGGAGAAGGCCTTTGACAGGGTGAGCCACGAGTACCGTGGACAAACTCCTGACGTCGCTCGGCTTCGGCCAGGCCTTCATCTCGCACGTGAGGCTCCTGTACACGGGGGCACGTCCAGCCTCTTGAAGATAAACCAGCGGCTTGGCGCCCCTTTCCCTGTGACGAGGGGGGGCGGGGGGGTCAGACAGGGATGCCTCCTCTCGGGGCAGCTGTACACCCTGTCCATCGAGCCACTGCTACGTCACCTCAGACGAAATCTGTCTGGCCTCAAGGTCCCGGGGTCTGAGAACGCGGTCGTCAGGCTCTCGGCTTACGCAGACGACGACGTGATGCGTCATGCTCAACGACGCGCATTATGTCTCCGCGCTCTGCCGGGCGGTGTACGAGAAGGCCTCCTCCGCCAGGGTCAACTGGGCCAAGTGCGAGGCCCCCTCTGTGTTTGAGGTCGCGAGGCGGCGTTCGCTCTGTGCTCCTCCCAGGAGGAGTCAGTTGGCAGGACGACGGAGTCAAGTTCCTGGGGGTTTACCTGGCGAAACCACGTGACGTCGCTCTGAACAACTGGACACAATCGAGACTAAATTACTGACATGGGAACGCCTCGCTCCGCAGATGTCATTCAGGGGGCTGAGTGCTCGCCGCTAACAACCTAGCAGCATCCGTGCTGTGGCACAAGACCAAGGCCCTCCAGCCTCCTGCTTGGCTACTCAACAGAGTCAACCGCTCACTCGCGCACTTCATCTGGCATGGGAAGCACCGGCTCAGGCCGGGTTTTCTCTGCCTGCCGGTGGGCGAGGGTGGCCAGGGTCTGGTGGACGTCGCCGCCAGGGCCACGAGCTTCAGGCTCGTGGCCGGCAGGCGGCTGCCGTACGACCGGGAGGAGCTACGCTCGAAGTCGCCGGCCATCGCCCTGCTGAGGAATGGAGGGGGGTGCCTGGGGTACGGAAAGGAGCTCTTCCTGATGGGCCTGAGCCTGGTCGACTACACGAGCCTGCCAGGTTATCACCAGAGTCTCTTGGACACGTGGCGGAGCTTCGGGTGGAGCAGAACGCGCGTGCCCTACGACCTCGCGCAGTTCCTGAACGAGCCCAAGTGGAAGACCGCAGCTGAGATCGCCGGCACCGCTAGGGGACTCCGCTCCATGCTCGCTGGGGAGAAGCTGCTGCGGGACGTCGCTCCTCGCCATGAAGGAGCTGCGCCTGAAGCTGGAGGCGCCGGGGGATGGTGGCGCCCCCCCCCCTCCTCTCCTCCTTCCCGGAGTTGTGCTTCTCCTGCGCGCAGCCCCCTGGCCACAGCGACTCCGGCAAGCTACTGAACCTCCGAGGCTGCAGGAACGTGCCCCTGAAGAGCGCCCCAAACAAAGCGCTCTACACGTGGCTGTGTCAAGGCGCTGCATTCCCGGGACCTGGCCGACCTACCGGACACAAAATAGAGAGACCACTTCTCTCCCCTCATTGTGACCGCCCCCCAGCGGAAACAAATGTACAAGTCTCCCGTAGCCAAACGCTTAGCGGTGACCTCCGGTGGAGGTTGGCACACTGCACGTTACCATCGGCCGTGTGGCTCAGCCGAATCTCGCCGGGGGTAACAGACTTGGTGCATTTCCTGCGGTGCCAGGGAGGATCTGTCCCACCGGTACTTACGCTGCCAGCGGCTCAACCCAATGTTCCGCCTTTTGGGGGACATCTTCAGGAAACTGGGGGTGCCCTTCTCCAACAGCAGCTTCGTATATGGGGTGGTGCCTTACCTGGCTAACAAGCGCCATGACCTCGCCAACTTCGCCTGTGCTCAGGCGAAGTTGGCGGTGTACAGAACGAGGAAAAAGATGCTGCAAGGTGACACTGACGGCTGCTCTGTGCTGCTTCCAGTGTTCAGGGGCCTGCTCAAGGCGCGGCTCCGGCTGGAGCACGCCACGTACCACACACGTGTCGGTGATGTGCAGCGCGTCTTCTTAGAACGCTGGGGAGCCGGACAAGCCCCTCTCTGTACCAGCGTGGACGGCACCACCCCACGTGTTCACCTTCTGAAGCGCTCGCTCGTCACCGTGGCGAGCGCGATGACCACCACCACCACGTGACTTTTATTTTGTGTTGTGCGCGGTGCATTTAGCGCCACAGCGCGTGGATTTGTAGCGTGTTTGTTTATTTGTGTTGCTGGTGACTTTGTGTATTTCGTGTCGGAGTCGCCTCCAGTGCTGTTGCTGCTGGCGGCAATAAAAGTTGTTAAAAGTCAAGTCTACCTCTCTCTTTCTCTCCCGCTCTCTCTTTCTCTCTCCCCCTCTCTCTCTGTCTCCAGCTCTCTCTCTCATCCCGCTCTCTGTCTCTCCCCCTCTCTCTCCCCTACCCACCTCCTTACCTCGTATACCTTCATACTCCTCCTCCTCCTCACACCTCTTTTGAATGCTTCGCCAGTGATCGTGAGTCGTCATCCCCCAGCTCCCCCGCACCTCCGATTAGCGCTAGCATGTGTTTTGACTCAGCAGGTGTAAGGCCGCTCCATGTAGTCACTATTTTTTTCAGAAGCGACCTGCCCATCACAAATGATAGCTGCTCAACGTTGGTGGGGATTCTCGTCATCATCGTCACGTGGACATTTATAGCAGCCAAATTACTCTGGGGGTGCACGTAGCCCCCCCCCCGGGGGTGCACGTAGACCCCCCTCTGGGGGGGCACGTAGCCCCCCCCCCAGGGGGCAACGTAAGTGACAACTTTACCTGGCAACTTGGCAGCCTGATGAGTTGCTGAGTCACGGCGGTTTTCCTGCCGCGTCATTCAACTGACGTTCGATCCCTGACGATGCCTGCTGCTGCTGCTGTATATTTAGAGTCTGCGTGTCTCTCTCTCATCATTATCACGGTGACTAGGAGATGTTAACTACCTTGCCTGGTATACAGGAGGTTGTGGGTTCCACTCCGAATCCTG